AATTTTTTTTGTGGAGTAGAGCCGAAAATGATGAATTTAGAGCTGGTGAATCTCTACCAAATAGGCTCTATGTATCTTTCCTGTTCTAAATTATAAGACATTTTAGTTTTTTAATATATTTCTTCTATTGCGTATCGATATATATAGTGTATATCTAAGTGCATAATAAAAACTATGTATTTAAAAAAACCAAATTATCATATAATTTGGAATGGAGAGAGTATTGTTGTATAGGTTAGTTTTATTTTTGTACATTATATACAAGAGTTTACATGTTAATTTTTTTCCTTTGGTACTACGTATGAATTTTTTTTACAGACATGTGCTTATCATACGTGTGTGTCAATTTATTAGTTCATGGACTTGCTTGAATTTTAGTTTGATTTTAGGCGATGGTTATTGCATATATTTTATATTAAAATTGCTGCTTTAGTTCATTGCAATTTCTTTAGACACAATCTGTAATTTTTTGTTCCGAGAATAAAACACACATGTTAGACAAAACCACAAACTCGAGAAGAATTTGATTTGTGTTGGCACAAGGATAATTAACAATTTACAATTGTTTTTATAGTGAGACAATTAACAATTTACAATTGTTTTTATAGTGAGACCAGGACAAAAAAAATGATATGTTATGACACAAAGACAAATAACAAATTACAAAATTAACAATTTACTTGTACTAGTGTTGGTGGTACAAGAGTATTGCTTGAAATCATCTTAAAATTCCGACGCATAAAATATAGGAGAAGTGATTAGTTCAAATACAAGTTTAAAGATGTGAAAACCAGTTTTTTGAACAAACCAAGCGGCGAACTTTATTGATCATCATTCAATAAAAACTCCACAATAAAAATACGGGGATCATCATATGGTGTGTTCACAAATATACAAAGTTATAAAAGATATCTTATACTAATGTTACATATATATCCATCTATTATTATACTAAAGAAATGAATAAATTGGAAAATGCAAACCATTCTAAGGATCGGACTCCATGTCTTGTCCCTTCTATGGGTTTGGAAAATTCCATCTAACACATGCCATTGCTTTCTACTTCCTCATCCGTTCCAAATTATAAGTCGATTTGACTTTTTTAATTTATTTATTTTTATTATGTATCTAGACATAATATTATATCGAGATACATAGCAAAATGGATGTACCAAAAAAGTCAAATTGACTTATAATTTAGAACGGATGGAGTATTGAACTGATGATGGAGGGACCATACCCTCAACGTCCAAAACATCATTCGACACAGCATCTCTGCCATTGAAAGCACACTCTCAAGACGAGATGCATAAATCATACTAGATCCTCAATTCTTACCTTTGATCTCGGCACTGAGTTGGCGCGGCAAGTGTATAGTATGGTTGACTAGAGGACACTCCGGTCCTCCCAAACCCTAGCAGCTTCCGATCCTCACGGGCGCCCTCAGCACGACTCCCTCCATTTGTCTATTGATGCTCAACATTGGGGCAACAACCAACACGATGCTCGCCAATCAACATCACCGCACTTCCGCGCTCATTAGGTTTAGGCTGTCGACTACTCAGACACCAACGAATAGTGGTGTCGGCTGATGGAGACTTGAAGTCTTGTGAACGGTGAACCGACGAACATGGTTGTTCTGCAATTTGTGAGTCGAAGATTTGACGTGTATCCTGGGCCGTCCGTAGTCTGCCCCTGTGACCGAGGTGTGCATGCGTACCCATCTCTAGTGACCCCACTAGGGAGTCAAACGCATGGGCAGCAGGAGTTTTCTGATTGTCTAGCAGAAAAGTTTTGTTTTTTTTATATGCATTCATTCGTACATGCTCTCCTCAGCTGAGTCTAAAGCCTTGTAGATCCACCCTACCACTATGGAGTTTCTCTATGTAGGAGGGGGTCTTCTCATTGCCCATCCACCAACATGCCACCGCTCTACACCACAAATGAAGGGTCGCCGCCTAGGGTAGAGCACCGCCACTGCTACCGTTGCGCCTAGGGCCCCTCTCCTTCTTCCTCTCCGGTGCGTCTGCTGAAGACAAGAAGGGGAGGGGACCCATCCTTTTTTCACAGTTTTCTTGTGTCTTAGTGTTGAGTTCAAATGATTTTTTGGCAAAATCAGATGATTTTTCGATTAGGATTGTGTGTCCTGCGATAACTTCGGTGATTGCCACGATGAGATCGTCGTTGCAGGCGTCGATTTCATCGGCAGGCGGCCAATTTGTGGCCTTTATTTGTAAGGGGAGGGATGCCTCTGGAAGGTTCCTACGTGGACAACGATTCTGGGTCATCGATCTTCTCATCGATGGTTGCAGAGAGAAAATCAAGATCTCATGGTGATGAATATGCATCCTAGGTCGTACCTGCTGATGCAATTGCCGACATTCTTTCAGCGATTTAGATGCATTTTGGACTGGTTTCGAAGCGTTGTATCTTATGGCATGTCCTATATTTTGGGATTGGTTGTTGGATTTGACATAAGGACTACACTTTGGCTCCGGCGTTCGAGGAAAATCATTGGAAAAGAAGACGATGGAAGAAACTAGATAGAATATTTTGTATTTTGTATTTAGATTTTGTTTATGGGTAATTTGGGATGTAATGTACCCAGATTTAATATAAAGTCCCCCACCCTTGCAAAAAAAGCACTTCCAACACTTTTTTTCTCATGACGTTCTGACAAACTACAAGGGCAGTATGACCTAATCTCTCAAGGCACTCAGGCTCTAAGGCCTAACTGTCGTAAGGATAGAGTATATTTTTTATTGGATGTAATCTTTTATGCATGGATTATAAAAACACTTATATTCTTACATGTGACAATGAGGCGACCCTGCGCGCAGATGCGCCATGGGAGACATGATGTAAAACAAATGGTTTTAAAGTTGAGAGGGCGTAACAAATCGTTTTTTAAATGAGAAGGCAAAATCTGATGATCACGGAAATTGAGGACAGTAAACTGTTTTTTTCTTTGTTGAAAATTCGACATGCCTAAGAGCATCTTCAGGAGTTTGGTATAATTTAGTTGCTAAACTAATCGATTTAGCAAGTTAATAAAAGAAATAGCAACCTTATATTTCGTCCTTCTCCAACAGTTTTCTATTTTAACTTTCTAAAATCTAAAGTAGGGTTCATGTCTGATTTATTTTCGGATCGGTTTGAACTAATCAGTGCACACTGCCGCCGTCCTTTCGTGTGTGAGTGCTCTGCCGGGCAGCGGCGACCATCGTCTGGCACCGCAGACCTGCACCTGCTGCAACCACAAAGCTGCCTTAGCAAAGGCCTGAGCCCCTAGCCATGCATCTGCAGCCTGTTCGTTTGGCCGTGGCTTGTCGTAAATGATCGTAAATTTTCAGTTGGAATAGTATTTTTCTCTCATACAAACCAGTCAGCAGTACTTCTTCACGAACCAGCAACAAAATGAACCAGCCAACCGAACAGGCTGCTGGCTATTGCTCCATGCCACCGTTAGGCACACAACCGTGGAACACAAGGATGCAAGGGCGGAGGACAGGTACGTATCACGGCGTTGGAGCGGAAGGGTAGCGGCAGTCGGACCGATGGGCGGCGGCCAAATAGATTAAGCCAACAATATATCTCACGACAAAACAAACTATCGCACGAAAACAGGTCCACGGAGGAGCGATAGGGAGTTCTCTCGACTTTGGAAACATATGAGTTGAGAAGGAAATTTGATAACTTTTTATTTTTAAGGAGCTCTTTTACCAAACTGTTGGAGAAGGTTTTTTCCTTTTTATTAAAAAATTAAGATAGGGAGTTGTTTTATCAAACTCCTAAAGATGCTCTAAAGATAAGGACATTTGCTATATGTCAGCGGTCTCATACTCCATCTCATGCAATACTACGTAGTATTTTTGCTTATGTGGAGGAAAGATAAAGGTAAAGAGAAAGAGGTCATGAGCTAAGCCCTTGTTTAGTTCCAACTCAACTTCCAAAAGGTAACAGAAGAAAGAGGTCATGAGCTAAATGTAGACGAAAAGAAAAACTAATTGCACAGATTTTGGGGAAACCGAACATTTTGAGATAGTCCATGTTTGAACACTCCAAATAAAAACGAACGTATACAAAGAGCCCCAAAAAGAATTTCTCCAACTAAACAAGGGCTAGATTTAGGACCACGAGATACTCCCTCCATCCATAAAAGAACTCAACTACGGATTACGTGCCAGCAAAAGTTATTTACGTTTGATAAAATTTCTAGTAATACTATTCACATTTACGGCTCCAAAATAATTTATAAAAATACATTTCATAATTAATCTAATGATATTTATTTGATATCATAAATATTGATACTTTTTATCTATAATTGATCGAACTTTAGATACTAATCCATGGCACTGTGCTAGAATTGCATTCTTTCCTAGACGAAGGGAGTAACTATTATACCATTATATGAGTTATTGTTACCACGTAACTCACAAGTTTATTTTTATTCTATGCATAAATTAAGAAATTTTGAGTTTTAATAAGACCACTTAAAAAATTATTATACATCTTGTCTATTGACTCGTCTTAAAATTAGGGCTTGTTTAGATGCAAAAAATTTTGCAAAATGAGTACCGTAGCGTTTTCGTTGTTATTTGGTAAATAGTGTCCAATCATAGTCTAATTAGGCTTAAAATATTCGTCTCGTGGATTTCGTCTAAACTGTATAATTAGTTTTATTTTTTATTTATATTTAATGCTTCATGCATGCGTCCAAAGATTCGATGTGACGGGGAATGTGAAAAATTTTGCAAAATTTTTTGTAAACTAAACTAGACCTTATGTGATACATGAGACCAGAGATCGTTGACTTTTGGGGCCAGAGGTGGTGTCCTACGTGTACTTAGACACCCCACCTCACGTGGATCTCAAAGCGTCGGCCGTCGAGGCATTGACCCCTCCACCAAGCCACAAAGAATCCATCCCCCGTCCTCTCCAACATCCGAAGAAACCACCCCAAATTGCGCCCCCGCCTGTACGAATCTCCTCGCGCCATGGCCTCATCCCGGAACCCCGATGCACTGGCGGCGCCGGCGCTGACTCCGGCGCCCGCGGCGGTGGCGCTGGATGCGCAGGCCCAAAACCCTAGCATTGCTCCCGGCGACCCGCCGTCGCCGGAGATGGAGACCACGGCGGAGGCGCTCACGCGGGAGGAGGTCCTCCGGCGGCGCCGACGCCGCGCGACCCGGCTAGCCGGTGTGTACCGCCGGCTCTACTGGGCCATGGCTGAGGAGGTGCGCGCGCGGCACCGGCAGTACGTCTGGGACCTCGCCCGGAGCCCACTGGAGGCAGAGCAGCCGCCAGCCCCTCCAGGCGGCCCCATCCCGGCGGCCGGGGAGCCGCCGAGGCCGGCGCCGGTGCCGAGGAGAAAGAAGTGCGGGTTCACAGGGTGCAAGGTGCGGGCCATGGCCACGACCCGCTTCTGCCACTCCCACATCCTCTCGGATCCCAAACAGCTGCTGTACAAGCCCTGCGCGTACATCACCAAGAGGTTTGTCTCTTCTCCCTACACTACACGTGATTTGGAAGAAGGAAGCCGTGGATCTTGGTCTGATTAGGGTTTACTGATTCCGTCACCTTACTAGTCTGGATCTGGCCAGCTAGTCATTCAGGTTTAGTGTTTCTGAAAGGGGATGCAACCTCTATATCTCAGTTGTGGGTTGGATTGCCATGCTTCTCTGGAGAAATCTTTGAGATGACCCCCATTAGTGCGTTTTTGTATATGTCAATGACTGATTGAAACAGATGGGGTCATTAAAGATGATACTGTATTTGTGGTGATTTATGTGTCATTTTGTGATTTTATTTTGAGGGAAAGTGGTTTTTGAATTTCATTCAATAGTGCTAAATAGGATATGTAGGCTCCAGATCGGTTGCTCTATATGGATACTCTGTCGCTCCCATTATCTCTTCATTGTTGCGTAGACAAGTGTTTTCAATCTAGGTGTTGCCTAAATTTGTTCAAGTTTTGAGCATAAATTTGTGTGCTTGTCTTTTCAGTTCTAGCTTTCTGCTTATGGATAGCTGATGTCTCATTTCATAGAATTGTCCCAGTGAACTATAGGAACCTTGCTTTTGATAGCAAGCTATTTTATGATTTAGCAGAGTTGGATCGATCAGTTTCAGCAAATAATGAAATGACATAAGAAAATAATGTATATGGTTATTTTTCTCTGTCTAAGTGAGCTGATATATGTTTTGCTAATGAAATATGATTTCCTATCATCATCATCGAGTTCCATCTAAACAGGTTGTGATTTTGAGTAAGCACCTCAAGTTGGACGTGCTTTAATTTCTGTGGTTGTCTACTTCATTAAGATTTTGCTTTTTGCAGATTTTGATTTGTATCACTTAACCTAATTAGAATTTGAAAGCTCTGTTTCAAAGGCGTCGCCTAGGCGTGCAGGTGGACCCAGCTTGCCTGGGGTCTTGTTATGCCTTTCTGCTTGATTCATAGTTGGATTTTTTTTACTTAACCACCAATAGCATAGTAATTCTTTGATATAAATTATTTTTTCATACAGTTTTCTTCCCCTTAATTGATTTTAACATGAATGTTCTAACTCTTGCCCTGTTTTTCCAGTGGGCTACAGGGTGGGCTTGTCACCTGTGGTAGGCCGATCATAAAGTCTGCAGCTCCCTCCCTCTGTAATATTCACTTGCAAAGATGTCAGAAAAGCATTGCACAAGCTTATAGGAAGGTTGGCTTTAACCCACCCCTTACAGGCAAGGTCACCCCGAAGTTTAGTGTTTTGGTTGCTGAATGTGTTCGTCAGATCCAAGACAAAAGGAGAAAATCACTGAAACCTACAGCACGATAGAAATGTCCTAAAGATGGAAATGTTCACTGAACCATACCACGATGTACATGCGTGCACAAACTTCATGATATTATTATTCTGAGATTCATCCAAAGCAGTGATAACATACTCTGCCAGATTACTACAGTCAGTCCTGGTTGAATGATATGAATAATGGAAACTTGCATTGCATGGTATGCATGAGTTGAAGATTAAAGTGTCATTGGAAGAATGGATGTCACAGGAATAGTAGTCAGTAGCATATTTGAAATGAAAAATTGAATGGACAAGCTCGTGGGAGAATCAAGTATCAACTGCGAGAGCGTGCAGCATGCAGTTATAGAATCTTGAGGAGTTCTGTGTTCTATTATTTACCAGGCAGTCTTTGTCATGAGCTTTTGCGAGTTGCTGAACATGCAGCAAGACTGCATGATATGGTGGTGTGTTGATTGTTGAACATCATCATCTTGTTGGTAGTATTATACAGCCTGCATGACAACTGGTGATTGCCAGCATCAAACCTACCTACATGGGCTCATATGAAAAGCTTGAACACTCCTAGGATATCACTGTTCACATTGATTTGGTTTCCATTTTGGAGTTACACATCCAAATTGCAACCTGTATTGCATGTATAGGTAGCTCGGAGGGAAATCGTACAAATTCTGGAGGAAACAGAATTATTTCTTGCCAAATTGAGATTCAGTACAGGTGCTTATTGTGTGCTTTGCAGAGAGATGTATGAATGCAAGATCTGTACTTCCATGGCAAATGGACTTTGCACAATATGAGATGCTACTTACCGAGAATGTTGCGCATCATGCACCAAAGTAAGAGCCTTATAAAACATGCAACTATGAGGATACTGCAGTACACATTTATGTTTATCGGACGTTCGTTGCTTGGTACTGTTATAAAATTTCATGATGTTGGACAAATAATAACCCTTTGTGGCTTTATGGATTGTAGCTGTTAAAAATTTAAAATCTGGCTACAATGTATAGGTGTACTAGATTGTTTGGTTGCAGTTTAATGGCTGTTAGAACTAAGAACTCAGGTCTGATAAGGGCTAAGGCGAGGCATTTAATGGCCCCATTCGCTTGGAGGAATTTGGAGGAATCTGTGAGAGGAAAACATTGTTCTGGATGAAAAAAGAAGCGGATTAAGCCGGGTTCAAGGGCACGCGAACGGGGCCATCAAGTTTTGCTGTTACTTGTTAGATGTTGCAATATGTAAATCTGTAAATGACATTTGAGTTTACTTTTTTCTTGTTTATCTTATGCTCAGATTTGTATTCCTTCTTTCTTACCGTTAGATTCAATTTATGTGTAATGTTTTCCAGCAATATTTAGTTTCCGGTCCTGGTTTTTGTCAGTGACAGCTATTGTTTCTTTTTAGTGCCTTACTTTGATCTTGCAAGTTATTCTTCGTCCATTGAAAGGTTATTTCTTAGAGCTGGCAAAGGATGCTTGGTCAGATGTTGGTGGATTTTAAAATTTAGCTAACAGTCGGATGGCAAAGGATGCTCGGTCAGATTGGCTTGAGGTAGAGCTGCAGGACAGTTATTTTCTGACGAAGCAGGACCTCTGAAACAGAAATAAAATGATTTCGTAACTATCATTGAGCCTTAATATTAGAATTCAATCAAAAGTACTCTCTCCATCACATAATAAATAAGTTTCTAAAAATTATTAGATAGACAAGAACGTTGGCAGACGCATGTACCCTTATTTTTTTTTCTTTTTTGGAGGATATTTCTTGAATTTGACTGTTATTGTTTGCATAAGACAAAGTTTCATCTCTTTTCCTTTTCCAAAGGATATCTCTTGAATTTGACAGTTATTATTGTGTTGCATACTTGCATGTGTCTATAATTAGCTTCTGCATTAGGAGGCTCACGTTTGTGTAGAATATTATTTTTTAAACAAATTTTTAAACTTAGATTAGAATATTATTTATGTTGGGATGGAGGGAGTATCTAAAGTATGAAAGGTTTTAATGTTAGCTAGCAACTTCGTATTGCTCAATGAGCGCTAGCTCACATGAGGCGATATAACGAAAAAATTAGGAGGAGACTATTCCATGATGCAACCATGGCCCCACCTCCACCTGCACTTGCACCCAAAATTTCAAACCATCGCATAATCAAACACGGAAGGAAGCCGTCTCTGCCTTTCGCGAGTTCGATTCTCCGGCTTTGGCGTTGCACAAAAGCAAGCAATTAGCTGACAGACCAACCATACAATCTTCTTCCGCGTTTGCAGGAGTTGCTTCTTTTGAAACCGATGGCCATGGCTTTGAGCTTGGGCGGTGGTGGTAGGAGGAGATGGTCGTGCCGAGCAGCGCGCAGGCCGGGGAACGGAGGGGCAGGCTGCCGCCATTTCCACGTCCACTACCACATCCCTCGCCAGGTCTGGGCATTCTCGCCTCCCCTGTTGCCGCCTCGCTTCCTGCTGTTGTCTTATCTGCTGATCCTTCCGGTGCTTTTCTTGGTGGTGCTCGCCTTTCTCGTGTGTTTCGGCTGGCTCACCCTTGTCTATCTTGCGTCGTCGCTGTGGAGCCGGAGCGTGGATCGCGCCGGCGATGCCAATGAATTTGGCGGAGAAGACGAACGGGAGGAGAGACCTGTGAAGCTTGTGACAGAGCATGCTGGTCATTCTGGTCTCTCAAAAGTTTGTGTTGAAGAGAAGGAGATAAAAGAGGTTGAAGATGGATTCTCTGAGGAATGTCGGTACATATCAAGGATGGCTTCAACAGGAATCTGTATCAACGATGACGAGCGAGCCAATGATGAGAAAATTGTCAAAGAAGTGATGATGTTTGAGCCATGTAAAGCATTTGCTGAGTTGGATGGTTCTACAGAGAAGCATCAGCTGCTAATGGACATTCCAATTGATTGTTTTCTACAAGAGGTTAACACCAAAGAGTTCAGCATCTCACTTAATAGTACAACCAAATTACTTGATGTGTTGTCAATTGGTGAAGTATTTGATGCAAATACGAAGGAAATATCATGTTTGAGTTCAACAGATATTTGGAAATTTATTCACAAGCATGATACTGCAGAAATACCAGTTAACAGTGCTGGGACTGATTTTGTGATTCCAGAGGTAACGTCCTCAGTTGATTCAACCCCCCATGGCCTTGGAGATGAATATATGGAGATCAAACCAGAACAGAGCCTAGCAGAATTATCAGTTGACACTGTTCCTGAAAAGCTAGCTGAAGACGTCACTGATGAATGGCAAGAAACACAAACTTTAGTTATTGAGCATAACAACAAGCAGCAGCTTGAAGCAGCCTCCAATGAAGAATACAGAAAGCAGATTGTTGTATTTCAGATGAATCTCATGATTCTGTATGTGAAATAGCTGGGTTGCCACTGGATTCTGTAAGTGAAAATATATCTGAAAATGCAACAGCTTCAAAAACTCTGTTACATCAAACAAACAATGACAAAGATATTGAACTTCAAGAAGACCTTATTCAGAACGAGAGAGTGGAGTCATCAACTTCTGCATCTGCTGTTTGTGATTTTGCCGACAACCATTGGCGAATAAAAGAAGAACTTGATGACTTTGCAAATGAAGAAAACGTTCACGATGAGGGGACTTCAGTCCATGAAACGGTACAAGATGAGGATGAGGACATAGATAATTATGCCTCCATGGTTAGTACAAATGGACATATACTTTAGTCATGTTGTGCTAATTAGGTGTAGCTGAATTTGCCCCGGGCTCATGTCTCAACTGAATTTGGAAGGGGGCACCACGCAGATTGCCGTTCGTTCGGAGGTCCCGAGCACCGTGGTGGAACTTATGTGGAGTTCTTGATATGTTTGCTGGAGGTGAAGACTAAATTGAGGTGAGAAGTTGGTCCCCTCTGTGGTCATTTATCCTGTGTCAGCCAACCCCCTCATGTTTTGTATTTCTTATTTATAGCTTTTGACAACTATTTATTTTAGGATTTGCTACGGTAATCAGAAGTGAGTCGTGAAGTTAATTAGTACTAGCTCCATTTTAAATTATAAGTCGCTTTGATTTTTTTGGTTCATCTATTTTACTATGTACCTAGACATATTATTAGATCTAGATGCATAGCAAAATGGATATACCAAAAAAGTCAAAGCAACTTATAATTTAGAACGGAGAGAATATCTCATATTATGTCTAGGAGATAATAGAAGAAATATAGGATAAATAGAGAAAAATAGAATAGTCTTGTCCTGGCCTTTGCTGTCGCACACAACCAAATCTTACAAGGTTTTAGCTCAATTGTTGATAATAGGGAAAGGGTGGAAATAAAAAAAATCATAAATAAATTCTATTATTGTTTTTCCATCCATTCATGGCGAATGTCCATAACAGTCTCCAATGCTCTACTCGTCAAGCCACTGTGCTCTAAACGGTCATTTAGCCTATTTAAACACCATGTAAACGCTACACGGTGGTATGCCGTTTCGGTTTAATTGGCCGTTTAGCCCGTTTAATTGGCCGTTTAGCCCATTTAATTGTCCGTTTTGCCCGAATAATGGCTAAATGATAGCTGACCGACTGTTTACCGTTTAACGTTTAGGAAAACATTGCGTCAAGCAAATCATCTTCCTTATATCCTCATGCTACAACAATTCCTAAAATCGCAGTTATCACCCTAAATGCAGCCTGCCGATGTCAACCCACAATTGTCCTTTCATTTTCTTTAACTCGAATTTTTGGCTGTTGTGGTACATTGGACTCCTAAGAAAAAAAATTACATTGAACTATTTTTGGTACCAGAGTTTGTTAATTCAACTTACATTACATCCACACCACATTTTATTTCAGGACCCATCCTAATCTGCTAGCAACTTTTATGCAGATTTTCAGATATCGTCGAAGTCCTCACGGAAGTATTAGGCCTACTTCAATTTCAGAAAAACTAATGCTCATCCCATTCTACTATCGACAATATTCCTCGGGGCTTGAGGTTTTATTACCTGCCTTCGCTCTTTTACTATTGTGTGTAATGGTTTTGGCCATTTGTTTTTTCTTTATTTTCCTTCATTTTGGAAGCTTTAGGCTTCCAACTATTGGGTATTGCTCCAAACAAGAATTGGCTTTTGTGTTTGTGTTTGACCTCTGAAATATTGGTTTTTTAGTTTCAAGAATTGGATTGATGTTTACGATGAAGCCACATCTTTTTGAGTTTTTGACTTATTGTAATCTTCAACTTTTTGGTCAAAGTGACCAATGTAATTGTACCTTCTTCCTTGAGATTGAAGAAAGCTTGATTGATTGTAATTGGTACGAAATAGAAATGCATCTTGTGTAGTTGTGTACATTCTTCTGTTTTGGCCAGTCCCTAGGTGGACAGAGTTGTAATCTGTCCTTGTTTGGTTTATTGAATCTAGATGACCAGGCCTAGCAGAGTGCTTGTTTGGTTGCTGCACGAAGAAGTGTTATATTGAATTTTGATAAAAAGCACTTAAGATAGTATTCCGTATGCCGCGAGCCTGGCTCTAAAGATATGGATTTCATTCTTGTTTCACAGGTACCAGGCTTACTCGCAGCTTTTGCATCCATGGAGCCAAAGCATCATAAAAACTGATTTCCTTGAGCCACTAATATCTTCCTTTTTAGTGTTTGAAGGGAGAGAAGTCACGAACCAAACCAACACCAAATACCAAAATCAACAATTTTTTTTTGGTTAGTATGCCTTGCAAGTGCTACGAACAAAGGGATAAATGGGTTATGGAGTTAGGAACAACCATATAAAGGGGACAACTTTAAAATGCTAAGAGCAACGTAAGTATTCATAAGGTAGCATGCATATTTCAATTATATATATAGTCCTAACTAACTCAACTAGCTGTTGCAAACTTGATCTACAAAAGTAGTAAGCACTGTATAAGGAAAATTGACCCTAGGTCTATTTACTTTGGATTTTGGTGTTTGATAACCAATACAATCAAATTAGACTAATGAATTTGCAAGTAATTGTTTTGTAGTTCAATAGGGTGCAAGACGTTACTAGGACGAAGGCGACATGATGATCCGATGATCAACACTATAAGCAAGACCCTAGAAGCACAAGAGAAAACCCAAGATATCAAGCAAAGTCCAAGCACGAAGATGGGAACCAAGCCAGACGTAAAACCACGAAGAAACAAGCTTGGCAGAGACGACTGGACGCGCCCTTCGTAAGGACCGGACGCTTCCGATGGGTAGTCCGAGACAGCGGCAAGCGTCAGTAGGCGACCGTACGCTGAAGAAGAAATATGACCGGACGCGACGATGGCACTGTTCATCATCTCAGCAACACCTTCAACGCGACCGGACGCGGCAGATGGACGACCGGATGCACCAGGCCACAGCGTCCGATCGGTTCCAGAAAGGTTCCAGAGAGGCGCAAATGTGCCCGGACGCGTCCGGTGGCAAGTGACCGGACTCAGCGCCGAGTCCGATCAATGCGCCAGCTTCAACGGTCGGGAAGATCGAACACATCCGATGTGGACGTGACCTCCGGTCACTAGCAGATTGTTGGGTCTTGGGGTCCAACGGCTAGTTCTCACTTGTGGGGCTATAAATAACCCCCCCAACTGGCTATTTGAAGAGTGGAGAGCTGAGGAAACATACCAAGGGTGTTGATACATGATTTTAGTGATCTCCACTTGCATAGTGCTTAGTGATTCATTATGTGATTAGCGTAGGTGCTTATGTTGATTAGACTACCGCTTATGCGCTTGCTTTAGGTTTAGGCCTAGTGTTTAGTGAGGTTTGCACACCTCTTATCACTCGGTGCTTGCACGCACCATTGTTGGAGGGGCTTGTAGTCTTACAAGATCACACCAACCGTGTTTGTGGTGTGGCCGCCACCGTGTACCAAATGGAACAAGGCCCGCAACAGTTCGGCCGAAAGCTTAATAGTGAAGACGGCGGGGAGTGGTCCGGGAGAGGTTTGCCGAAAGGCACACCGGAGACCCACTTGCGCATGGGGAAGGCCCGGGGCTATCCACGGAGTTACCCGACCAGGAGCTTGGCCCTTGCAAGGGATTCCTTGCGAGGGGCTCCAACGAGGACTAGGGGAAGCTTGAGCGCTTCTCGATACCTCGGTAAAAATACCAGAGTCGTCGATGGGAGTTTGCATCTCTACCTCATCTTTACCTTCCGTATTTACATTGTTACTTAGGTTGTGTGCTTTACTTTCCTACTTTAGTTGATAGGCTAGTTGATAGGGTTCGAACCTAGGTTGTAAGACTCTTTTACGGTAGATATAGCAACACATTAACAAAAACGTAGTTGTATATTTAGATATATTACTTTCTTGCATAAGTTTTGCTAGGGTGGAATTAGATGCCATAGTTTAGAGTAGATTTTTAAGTTGCCTAATTCACCACCCCTCTTAGGTGTCACGGTCCCTTACACACTAGATAGCTTCAGTGACCACACAAGAGAAATCTGGTGCCCTACCACGTCGATTAGCCATTGTCGACCGTTGGAAGCTTACTTGTTGTGTGCCCTATCAAACAAATCTAGTGCGTTTTCTAGAGGATTGGGACCTTTCAGAATTGCACCTCAGCTCTAATCTTCGATGCATTCTCCTGTGCTCTCTTCTCCTCCACTGTGCATGTGCAATGGCTCTATACTAAAACTATGGTGTCATACCGAAAGCACGCCGTGCACACTTCCAACTCTATCTTAGACTAGATCCACTTGATTACTCTAGTGCACCCACCAGAGTGTCCAGTGCAAACCAAAAATCTCTGGTGCTCGTCTGAGTGTGTTTCTTCATGTCCATTCATCCAGGCTTCACTTGTATGATGTCTTGAGTTTCTTGGTTGTCTTCTAGGATTTTCAAAGCTCCTCCATCTTTTTTCTTTCTTTGAGCTCTTGATCTCCACCTTAGCCTAGCTCAAGTCCGTCTTTGTATTGTTAGGACTAATATACAATGTATACTAGCAAACGTTGTAAATCCTAATGGTTATATTTTCGAGCAACCAATAAATTAATTATGCCCTTGCTAGGGTCTATGTTCTTTTACAATCTCCCTCATTTTTATGATTGATGACAACACAACCAAAGTAAGTAATAAAAGATACATAAAAAACTACTTACTTGCTTGGATGCAATGCAAACCCCCCTACCCAGCCATTTGGAGTGTGGTTCATCCCTTTGTGCTATAGCCACCATATGCCTTAGGCAATTAGCTAAAGTGGTAGGATTAGCATTTAGTCTGGTTAGAGGTTGCTTTAGTGCTTGCTCTAGGTTAGGACTAGTTTTTAGTAAGGTTTTGCATATCTCCTTGCTCGGTGCTTGCGCACACCAAGAGTTGTACTCCCTCGAGGCTTATGGTGTACATAAGGGACATGAGACCCTCCAACTGAGTTTGTGGA